CTGAAGTGTGCCTGGATCATGTAGCCTCTCCGCTTGGAGAAAATCAAATCCATTATTTATTTTAGTGTCTTGAATTACCAACACGAAGTCTTTGTTTTCCGAGAGTAAAACATCCCAGTTCATTATCATCATAGAATCCCTACAGTGTGGAAACAGGCCCTTCGACCTAACCAGTCCACACCGAACCGCAAAGCATCCCACCCAGAGACACCCCGCTATAACCCACCTAATCGACACATTCCTGGACATTATGGGCAATTTAGCGTGGCCAATCCACCTAGCCTGCACATCTTTGGACTGTGGGAGGAAACCGGAGCACCCAGAGGAAACCCACACAGACACGGGAAAAATGTGAAAACTCCACACAGACAGTCGCCCGAGAGTGGAATTGAACCCAGGTATCTGGCGTTGTGAGGCAGCAGTGCTAACCACTGAGCCACCATGCCATCAATTTAGGTTGTTCTGGCCTGTTTCAGTAACTGGGATTTCAGCCTCGTGATGACAAAAAAAAAATGCCAGGGGAACTCATCTGCAGAGAAAGAAACAATGTTCACATTTTGAGTCCATTGGAACGTTGTCACTGGATAATGAAATGGCTGGGCTTGAAATGTTAACTCTTCAAACAGGTGTTGCCAGATCTGTCCAATTTTTTTTATTTCAGATCTCCAGTATCCATAGTATTTTGCTTTTATTTTAGTGTCAGCCTGGTGACCTGCTTTGAATCTGTTACAGGGCCAACATGCAAGGCACTGGAACTGTGCAAAATATTCTTGATTTGGACTTATATGCAGAAAAGACAGTATTTCTTCTTTCATATTTGATTATTCCAGCAATTTATCCTAGCACAAAATAAATTACTATGACTTGGAGGAAGGAAGCAAATATACTGATGCCAAATTTGCAGATGACACAAAAATAGGTAGAAAGGCAAGTTATGAGAGGGTTACAAACAGGTTACAGAGAGACATTGATAGGTTAAGTAAGTGGGCAAAAAGTTTGCAAATGGAGTACAGCGTTGGAAAACGTGAAGTTATTCATTTTGGAAGGGAGACCAAACAAACAGAATATTATTTAAATGGAGAAAAACTGTAGAAAGCTGTAACTCAAATCAACTTGGGCATACTTGTACATGAAACACAGAAAGCTCGTGCATAGGTACAGCAAGTAATCAGTAAGGCTAATGGAATGTTGGCCCTTATTTCAAGGGGGTTGAAGTAGGAGAGTAAGGAAGTCTTACTGCAGTTCTGGAAGATGCTGGAGAGACTACAGCTGGAGTACTGTTAGCAGTTTATTTAAGGAAAGATATCATTTCATTGGAGACAGGCCAGAGAAGGTTTACTCAGATGATCCTTGGTATGGAGGGATTGTCTTATGAGCAAAGGCCAGGTAGGTATTGGACTCTACTCACTGAAGTTTAGGAGAATCTGAAGTGATCTCATTGAAACATATAGGATTCTTAAAGGACTTGACAGGTTAAATGCATGTTTCCCCTCATGGGAGAGTCTGGAACCAGAGCGCGTGGTCTCAGAACTAAAACCCCAGTTTTACCACGATTGGTATCGCTGTTGCACATTGGCAGCAGTGTACGCTCTACAGGATGCACTGCAGTAGCCCAAGTCTCCTTTGCCAGCACCTTCTAAACCTGCAAGCTCTATCATTAGAAGGACAAGGGTAGCAGATGCAAGGGAACACCACCACCTGCATGTGCTCCTCTAAGCCACACAACAACTTGGAACCAAATCACCACGACTTCACTGTTGCCTGGTCAAAATCCTGGAACTCCCTAAGAGCATGGTGTATGTTACTTCAGCAATGCATGAAGGAAGTTTCCATGTGTTTGGATATCTCATCTCTCCGCAGAAGCATGTTTCAGAAGCTTTTTTTTTATTTGCACATTTAACTGCAAATGCTCAGAGACTGTTTTCTAATTTACCCCTTAACAATATTGAGTACCGATAACCCACCATTATTTCTATTGCAAAATCCATGGTAATATTCCTGGAAGGCTTTCCTAGTCAGTAGTTTGCAGGTATGTATTCTGGATAAATTGATGGAGTGAACAGCAGTTTAATTATACACTTAGGAGTTTTTTTTTTCATTCATGGGATGTCAGTGTCATTGGTTGGGGTAACATTTATTGCCTTCCTAATTGCTCTGGAACTGAGTGACATTGTTCAGAGGGCAGTTAAGAGTAAACCACATTGATTGTGGTTCTGGAATAATATGTGGGCCAGACCAGGTAAGAATGGAAGATTCTTTCACTAAAGGACTTTAGTGAGCCAGAGGAGTTTTTTTTTCAGCCCTAACTTTTGATTTCAGATTTTATTCAATTCAGATATCATTATCTACCCCAATGGGCTTTGAAACTATGTCTCCAGAACCTTTGACTGGATTTCTGGATTTCTCGTCTACTGATATTAACACTACACTACTGCCTCCCCACAATTCCTATAGAGACTGTTCAATCCATTTAGGAAGGAGTACCCTAATCTTTATTTTCTTCCTTTTTTCACAGTTTCACTGTGCGAGTTTCTGCAACTGTGTCAGGCCATGGTATTCCAGATACAGTAGGTAAGCATTACATAATTATGGACATGGAATGGACAGAAATCTGGTTACAATTGAGGTATAAATTTCAGTCAGTCTAAGCCAAGGGAAGTTGATGGTTAAGGGCACATTTGTCATACACTGCTTTATCATTTGCATAAAATCCTTATGCGCACTGTTGTAAAACAATACCAAAAATGCTTTTATCCAACTATCTTAAGCACTGCTTTACAAAAAGAGGATAAAACCTATATCCTTATAGTTTTTAAAACTGGTTGTCTTAATCCTTATCTACGTTCTTCAGAATTATAGTTGAGAACAGTTGTGTGGCCTTCTGAACTCAAAACTTCCTAAACACATGACAATAAGAGCAAAATATTCTCTATCTGGCTTGTGATGCTATCTTTAAAAACATCCACATCTCCCTTTTCTTAAGTTCTGGATGCTAACCTTCAGCTAGACAGACTGAAGCAGAAAGGAGGAATTGAGAGAACGCTATTCCTTAATTCTCATCGACCACAGCACACATTCCATTTTGTCGTTGGAAAATCAGAACGTTCCAAGTATCAGGAATTCACTGTTTACCTTACAGTAAGTGTGTACTTAATAAATATCCAAGCAAAGATTTTTTTTGTGTGAAGTATGATTAGGTACATAAACCACTTGAAAATCTTACAATTTGGAATTGCACTTTCAAATTCAAAAGGTGTTGACTGTTTTCTAGGAGTATGGGGGTAGTGGGTGGTATAATCCCATGATTATCATCTGATAATTTATCCCAGCGAGCATTATATATGAGTAAATCTTGCCATTGAGCATCAACATGTTTGTAAAATTGTGAAAGGCATTCCAGGCAAGCTTGTTCCTGTCAATCATCACACACATTCTGGTGAAGGCTGATGAAATGTTTGTATTATTTGTAAACTTGGGTTCTGAAGTGGACAGAACCATATGTAACTTTAAGTTAGTTTCATACTTCTATATTGTGTACGTTAAGAAGGATGTTTTAATTTCATTTTGAATTCTGTGTGTAAGAAGTTTATTTGCATACATTTAGATGAAGCTTTTAAAAAAGGCTTGAGGTGAAGAGTTCATTGTTTTCAAATACAAGAGTAGAAGAGATATAAAAAAAGGCTGTTGCCAAGTCCTATGACAGAGACAAACAGAGATCTAAATGATTTCTCTTTAGAGACAGACAGAGCCATCCAGAAGTTCAGTGAGGGTGCAGGTTTCTGTACGTGAAAAAGGCTTAAACAAATAACAAAGCAGTCAAGCAGTCTCCAGAACAGTTATGGCAGAAAAAAAGACTTCCTGAGTGGTTTAATGGTTAATAAGGGAAGAGTTCCAGAAACTGAAGGCTGTGGAAAAGGAGTTTAAGGAACTTATGTAAAACAAAATTGAGCTGTGTTAGCAGTTTGATTAAGGGTCTCAGGAAGAGATAATGACTAGAGAAGTGATATCACATGAACCTAATGGTTTGCAAGAAAAAAATCAAGAATAAAGAAATGAGTGTAAAGGGAGAGCAGAGTAACCTTTCACTGAAGTTGTATCTATAAGTTTGCTGTTGAGGGTAAACGGGTTGAATCTTTATTATCAACTAGTTCTTGTAAAATGTAATAATGGATTTTTATTTTTCCCATTTTGTGTGTAGTGAACTTTGTTCTTTTCTTAAAACTACGTTGGCAGCCACTTGTGAATATGTTCAGTGACTGATCACCATGGTAATCAAATTGCAAAATTAAAACATGTGGCCTGTCATAGAATCTCACATGTCCAGTATTACCATCAGCTAGGATCAAAACAAGGTGTACTTCTAGAAATAGTTGCTTGGCTGTGGATGATGCAGTAATCCTAAGTGATGATCCCCTTTTCAGTAAACACCCAGTGGTACTGAGACCATGTGTGGTACCTATGTAAGAGAATGGAGATTGAAGCCAGTGATTCCTGGTGTCTGTAGCTCAACTGCTTACTGGAAAAACTCACTGTAGAAGGTTTTGCTGATGTAAAGTGAAAAAAAAAGAATTTAAGGAAATCAGATTTGATTGTGTTATGTTTTATGTTTCAGCACCACATCATAGAGATTGATTATTTTTTGCTATTATACAATTGATAAAAAAAATTCTAGGTCAATCTGACCTTCATTGGTTATTAGAGTACAAAGAGTAAACACATCTAAATAAACCTGAGCTCGAGAAATGTTTTATTCTTTTAAAAAAAGCTTTTCCTTAACAGTTTTGTCATTATGAGGCATCAGATCATGAATAAATGCTGTGAGCTCAGATCTGTTAAGGGATAAATAAATTGTTAGTCAGTGTGCTCAGGGTAAAATATTAAATGGTTTAATCACAAATGAAGTCAAACTATGTGAAATAATTAGGCTGTGTAGAACACAATTTGCCAGAAAAATCACTGCTCATAGTAGTTATAGTGTACTGGAAATCAGGATTTGATTATACAACAATGGTGCGTGGCCAGGAAATACTTGCTGAATTGTAGGCAAGGCTGAAAGGACATGACAAATATATGCAGATTATTGATTAAATCAATATGGATTATGAATTTCACACAGACAGTGATGCAGTATGGACATGTTTTTATGAGTGTGTAGAAGTTATTGATTATCTGAGCACCAATAAGGAATAAGTTATCATTTTCAAAGGTGACTTTTTGAGAAATGGAATGCAGCTGGCAGAACTGAGATATTGAACTACTGTGAACCTGAATAACTTTTAAACCTCTATATTAAAAATGAAGGCACAGTTTGTGCTTTCTGCAGTTAGCTATCCATTTTGTCTCACACATTAGGTGTACAGATGTGAAAATCAGGAGGAATTTTGTCTCTGTTGTACTGTACCATTTTTCTCAGTTTTCAGGTGGAAGATCCACCTCTGCTATGCAGCTGGTTTTAAATGTTTTTGGGAATCTCCACTGCGCATTATGTCCCATTGTTTAAGCACAGAAGACATCTGAAAAGGATTAAATGAGTGTCCAGGTTTGAACAGGAATCAAAGTTAGGTGATAAGAAATCTAATTTTTGGTATTACAGTCCATGTTTTAATTTTTCTTTGTTTCAATCTGGCACCTAGGCTCCCAGAATTGTTTTTGTGAAAAATGTTCCTCTGCCAACACCAGATGAGGTTATTCCCTTTGGCACCAGTGTATTTTCCTGAGCCAGCTATACTGTGCTTGAAACAAAAATGATGGATGTTCTGGTTGATTTTGAAACTTGCTGTAATCCTAAAGGATGATAGACTGCTTTCTCATCAGAGAGAGATGATTAGTGGTGGTTTAACCTGAGGGTCACCACAGCTCAGGTGAGGGGAGAGTTTGAGAAGGAGAGTCCTTCGTGGTAACCCCAACAGCTAGCAGGAATTATACCCACACTTTTGGCATAACTGTGCATCACAAATCAGCTATCCAGCCAACTGAGCTTACCAATCCCAAACTACCAGCAAAAGTGATATTAGAAGCTGCATTCCTACATCTGGATAACAACCCTCATTTTGTAGACAGTTGCTGCGGGCGGATGCTTCTCTTTCATGAGGAAGCTACAATAGATGATCTCATGGTACCATTAAGGTATCTGAATGCTGGAATAGATGTAATATCGTACTCTTCGCGGAAGCAACCCTACTGTGGTAAGCCATACTTCCAGAGTAAAGACATTCAACAGGCACAATAATGTGATTAGCTGCATCTATCTGCTACTAATACATGGCCAGGCATACTGCTAGGCCTTGACTGCTTGGCATAATCTTCACAAAGTCTGCCTTAATAAAGACATTGATACAGATATTGGCCATTTGGTGAAATCACAGTGCAGTTACTGTGCTGCATCTGGCTGGCACATCCTGAAACTTAGGGTGCAGTTTTCCCCTCCATGTAAGTGGAAAGAGATGTTAGGGAGAAGAGGAAATAATTGAAGGCTCTGAAGAAGGGTCACCAGACCCGAAACGTTAACTCTGTTTTTTCCTTCACAGATCTGCCAGATCTGCTGAGCTTTTCCAGCAATGTCTGTTTTGTTTCCAGGAAATAATTTGGTAAGCTGGCTCTGGAGAGGTACCTGCCCCCTTCTCACAATTCAACAATTCTGTGCTTGATGAGAAGGTCCATTTCTTACATGCTAACTTGCTAGCAATTAGGGCACCTGAGTGGTCAATTAACAGCCACTTACAAACATTAATGCACAACTCCCCCTGTTACCTTTTTTCCTGCCAGACAAGAACCGTGGTGGGTTCCCTGACTGGGTAACCAGGGTAACTAGTCTGTTGGGTTAGGGGCTTATCTCTATTTACCCTAATTGAATGTCAGTCAGATGCATGGGTGGGGGCATGGGAGTTGCTTCTGAAAGCCGTCTACTTTCCTGACTTTTTCCCCATGTGACCCTGCCCTATGAACAGCAAATGAAAAGCTGCTGTTGGATCCCCTGAAGAGTAGACCTCCACTGATGTTCTTTATAATCCAGAAGCTGTCAGCCTCTGATTAGCTGGCAGCTTCTGGTAAGCTGGAACACTATTATCAAGACCTACGGAAGGCTGAGAGGCTCACCAACCAGCTCAGATCAATCTGATTAGCCTGCAATTGGCAACCTTTCTTGACAGTTAGTTGATACCTAACATGCCCACCTACATATTTAACTTGGAAGTGAGAAAATCTCAGTCGTAGTTCTATCTCCTTACAAACACGTTCCAACGCTCGCCTATTGAGATACTGCTGTGGGGTAGCATAGAGGTGACCTCTCATAATGCTTGCCTCATGCGGTAGTTCCCACCCTACAGCTTTTGTGTACCAAAAGGTGGAATACAGGGCTGACCTGGCAATTGCAAACATGTGCTTGCATCTCAGCTTTCCCATTTCCCTCCTTTCTTTGTAACATTTTAATATCGTCGCTTCAGGCTTTGCAAAAGCTATCATATGGGTCGAAATGCCTCACAAATGTGTTACAAAACTTTATAAAGGCTTTCTGAGTTTTTCTCCCCCAATTGTGATGCCTCCCTGTATTTTATACATCCTTTAACTTATTTCACTTACATTTTTACAAATTTTGGTTAATGTGTCCTAAATCTGCCATTGATATGTGGGAATAAATACCATCAGAAGATCAATGGTGTAAACAGCATACAATAATTCCATTTCAGTCTATCAAAAACCCAATAATTACCATTTGGTCCAAACTGTGCCAATAGCAGAAAATTTTGGCCATTTTGTATAAACAAGCACAGTTAATATTTGAAAACATCCCATAATACAAGATGCATTAAAGGTCCTTTAGTCTTTTTTTCTTAATTCATAAATGGGGTATTAATATCATTGACAAGGCCAACATTTCTCACCCAACCCTAACTGCCCTTCAAAAGACAGTGTTTAACCGCCTTCTTGAATCACTGCAGTCTGTTTGGTGTGATAGTGTTGTTCGATCGGGAATTCCAGGATTTTTGACCCAGCAATGGTGTAGGGAACAATGATTATTCCCATATTCATATGAACGGCATGCAGCTAGGGGCATTACTTCGATGTGTTGCTGTTTCATGCATTGGCTTTCCGAGTCCTTCTAGGTAGTTTAGGTCACATGTTTGGGAGGTGCTGTTGAAGAAACTTTGGCAGGTTGTAGATGTTGCGCACTGCAACCAACTGTGCACCAGTGATGGAAAGAGTGAATGTTGAAGGTGGTAAATTAAACGGCAGTCAAGTGGGTCTCTTTGTTTTGGATGGTGTCAGCATTGTTATGTGTTGTTGTTGCTTCAAGACAAGAGAAGGGAATTCCTTTACACTCTTGACTTGTGTCTTGCAAATCAGATGACACCAGGTTAAAATCCAACATGTTTATTTGAAATCACAAGCTTTCGGAGCATTGCCTCTTCATCAGGTGATAAACCTGTTGGACTATGACCTGGTGTTGTCTGATTTCTGACCTTGTTCACTCCATGTCATGTGTCTTGTATACAGTGGAAAGGCTCTGGGAAGCCAGGGGGTGAGTCACTCACTGCAGAGTGCCTGACCTCTGATCTGTTCTTGTTGCCGCAGAATTTATGTGGCGAGTCCACTTATGTTTCTGGTCAACCTAGCATTTTTGATGATAGGTTATTCAGTGATGGTAATGCTGTTGAGGCTAAGGAGTGGTGGTTAGATTCTGTCTAGTTGGGGATGGTCATTTGTGTGTCTTGAATGTTACTGTTATTGGTGCAAAGTGATATTAGATTGTAACAAAAACAGTGCAGGAGAAACACAGCAGATCTGGCAGTATCTGTAAAGAGAAAACAGAGTTAATATTTCAAGTCGAGTGACCCTTTATCAGCACTGACGAACGGCCACTAGACTCAAAATGTTAACTATTCTTTCTCTCTAAAGATGCCGCCAGTCTGTGCTTCTCCTGCACTCTCTGCTTTTGTTTCAGATGTCCAGCATCTGCAGTTCTTCGTGTTTATTCTGTTAGAATGCATATTTAAAGTTTACATTTCATTTAGCTTTTTATAAACAAGAATATTGAAGTTGTTCCCCATTTTCATAAGAATTTATGTTGATTTCGATATTTTTATTCTTTATTCTAGGATGAAAAGGAGTTTAGAGATAAATTAACACCAATTATTGTTAGTTTAAATTATAGCCTGAATGAATCACATCCTTCAGAGGATCTTAAACCAATAATCAACTACTACAGTGAAACATTTCTTCAAAAACAGGTAAGAGCAAATTTTCATTACTTCATTAAATACATCGTGGGCTACATTAACCCTTGGTATTAATCATTTTTAAATGTTTTATTGTCATTAATCTAGGTATTAAAGAAGCTGTTGGGGGGGAGGTTACTTCTTATGGACTGTGAAAGGATTTATTAAAGCATAAATTTTATAAGCTGTTCTGGTCTTAAGGAGAGACAGAAGTGATAATTAAATGTGGAACATCTCAATATAAGTCATTAGGAACAAGGCTAAGTTTTGAAATATTATTTAAATTTAATGACATAATTACATGGAATGAGAAATATGCTGCCACATCCTCCTTATTAACCTTAATCCTGCTGGCAACCCCATTCTCACTGAAAAAAAGTGTATAATCGTAGTATTTAACAGTCGCAATTAGTGATATGATGGCATTGCATTACTAATCATGTACATCTGGAAGAATTATGTTCATTATTTTACCATGACAAATATGTGCATTTAATGACGATTTATTCATTAGTTGATTAGCTAAACATCATTAGTTATAATCCACAGTAGTTAATTAAATCCAATCTAGATGACAGTTTAGGTAATGTTGATACCTATATATACATTGTATCATTGTCAATAAGCATGTATTTTGTACCGTCTGTAGATAATTATCAAGAGGCAGAGGCCCCTGTAATTCCACTTCCTGGAAACTGTAATTTGTGGCTCCGCAGAGATTTGCGAATACCACCTAAATACTAATTTATGATGCTTTTCTGCCAAGTAAATGCTACATTCAATGTTCTGCTAAAATTCTGCGCATAGGAAATGTTTCCACAAGTTTGCGTTTTTTTGAAGTCGGCACTGTAACAAATCCTTAGACAGTTTTGGCTATGGAACAATGATCAGCTACGTTGTGATTCAATTAACCAAGAGATTTGAAAATCATAGGTGTGAACCCAATTTATACATATATAATTAGTGTATTATGTAAAACTTTCATATCCAGTGTCACTTTCACCTTGTGTTCACACTCCGATTTAAATGCCATGTGATGTTTTGTACCCTTCATGTATTCAAAGGATTAACACAACAGCAAAGGACAGCTATTGAATTAGACAGCACCCCCTATTTTACAATCCCTGTTTGCATTACAAACAATGTCTTCCTTTTGAAGTGGCATCTACATAATCTTATAGGTGCCCAGCCACTACTCAGGGGATTCTCCATTTACAAGCACAAAAAATCTCAGCCAAAATAAAAGATCAATGAGAGTTTTAAAAGCTTGCTTTGCACCATAATTTTCCCAATAAAACTAGTCCAATGATAGCTTCATTTATTTAACTGAAAGCTAAGTTATATATTTCAGCACATGTTTGCAGTAAGTCAGGTAAACCTATGCAAAACAGATGCAACATTAGTGACACCGCATGCCCTCTATAGTACACATCAGATATCACCTTTCAAGAAGTGATGTTATTGCAGAAAGGTCTGGTGGTGACAACCCTCTATGCCCTTAGAGAGCCACCAAACTCATTTTGTAGTGAGATACAAGAGAATCTACTCAATTCCCCATTCTACCCCAACTCCTAAGTTTTGGAGGAGACTGTTTTTGACATTATTTTCAATTTGTTCCAGAGTATTTTCACAGTGGTGATGTCCTATAGTCTTGGTTAGTGACTTAATCAGTGGCGCTCTCTTGTTCCTTATTTAATCATCAATTTACTTTTAACTTCATGCAGACTGAGGTCAAAAGAGCTAGGAAATTCTTGAGGTGTCTAGTTAAAAAAGAATGCCTGTTTGAAATTTGGATAGATTTCTATCAATTTGTTCTTTTTAACTATTTAATCATTTGGTAGGCAAAAAAAATAACTATGTCTTGTCTCATTTGAGCCAATTATTAAGGTGGGGATTCAAACGAATCTAGTTGAAATACATGTACAACTGTTGATAGCAGTAGCAAATGCATTGATGCAGGGTCTTTGTTGACATCTTCTCAGATCTTTGCAATTGGCCAATAGGTTTGAGGTTTTCTCAGCTTGTTTGGATGAGAGTGAGAGCTGCAGGGTGGATGTGTTAAGTGGCCATTGCACCATGATATAGAAAACCATTCAAGGGGTAGGAGTAAGAAGGAATATAGTGGTAATAGGTGACAGTATTGTGAGGGGGATTGACACTGTTTGTCTGTAGCAAAGAGCATGAGTGCAGGCTGTGTTGTCTGCCTGGTGCCAGAGTCCAGGACATCAGCTCTGAGCTAGAGAAAAACTTGTGGAGGGAAGCAAAGAATTTGGTTGCCATAGTCCACATTGGTGGCAACAGCATAGTATAACTAGGAAAGAGATTCTGCTGAGGGAATATGAGAAGTTAGCTCAATCAAAAATGAACCTCAGTATTACTACCTGAGCCATGTGCAAATTGGTATAGGGTGTATAAGATTAGAGAAGGAGTATGTGGCTCGAAGTCTGATGTGTGAGAAGTGGGTTCTGGTTTGTGGGGCACAGCACTGGGGAATGTGGGATCTGCGTTGTTGGAATGGCCTATACCTGAAATGTGCTGGACTGATGATCTGGTGAGCTCCATAACAAGGGAGCTAAAGAGGACTTTAAACTAAGGAGATCATAAGACCATAAGATGGTATGGTCTCTAATAAGACATGAGTAATAGCCCAAAAATTCAAGAGAGTCAGGGGACAGAGCTAAGTATAGTGGCGATCATCAAGGAGAAGGTGCTAGAAAAACTGAATGGCCTAAATGGAGGGTGGGCAGGGAGAGGTGTTTGAGGAATTAAGCTCGGATAATTGTAATAAATCGAGGGATAGAGTTTAGACAGGACAGCACAATATTAATGTAGAAAATGAAGTTTACAGAATGGCAAGAAGTAAAAGGGAAAACTAATCCAACAATATACAAAAGTCAAGACTAGATGTTACAAAGATAAAAAGAACTTAAGGTAGTATACCTGAATGTGCACAGCATTCATTAAAAAGCTAATAAATTGATAGAGTATGTGGATGTGAATAAATATGATCTGATACCCATTACAGAGATGTGGCTACAGGATGACAAGGATTAGGTCCTGAATATTGATGGATGTATAATATTCAAGCAGAATAGTCATCTAGGTAAAGGGGGAGGCACAGCAATCCTAATCAAAAATTAGTTCAATAGTTAGAGACCATAAGATGTAGGAACAGAAGTAAGCCATTCAGCCTGTCAAGTATGCTCTGCCAGTCAATGAGATTCATGGGTGATCTGATAACTCTGAAATCCATTTTCCTGCCTTATCCCCATAACCCTTGATCTCCTTACTGATTAAATATTTGTCTGAGATGACTAGATTCGGGAGATCAGGTGATAGTTTTGATTAGGGGAAAGAATCACTTGTGAGAGTGAACTACAGGCTCAAACAATAGCTACAATGTAGAATAAATAATAAAACAAATATTGGGTGCTTGTGATTTAAACAGTACTTATGGATGATTTTAGTGGACACGTTTTCAGGAAAAAAATCAAATTAGTAATATTAGCCTGGATGAGGACTTCATAGAGTACTTTCTAGATAATTCCTTAGGGCAGCACATTCTGGAACCAAAGAGAGAGCAATTTATACTAGTCATATGTTATGTGATCTGATAGGATTAACTAATGACCCGGTAATGACCTCTGGGTAACAGCAATAACAATATGATTGAATTTTACATCTAGTTTGAAAGGGAAAAGAATGGGTCCAAGATTAGTATGTTAACTATTAAAAGGGCAACTTTGTGGCATAGCTGTAAAGCTGAGTTAGCTGAAGTGAACTGAGATATTAAACTAGCAGATCAGTAGAGAAGAAGTGGCAAAGATTTAAAGCAATATTTTATAATATTCACAGAAATGATTACAGACATGCCTAGTCAAAACCCAACAACTCATATGATGTTTCTTTAGGGGTAGCCTACATGTGATACTTTCACACCTGCCATTGTTGGTGCTTGTGATTCTCCAACATTCCCACCTTAAAGTTGTTGATTCAATGCTGATAAATATCTGCTTGTTGGCATTTTTGGGATCCTGTTAGGGATGCAATTAAGACCAATGTTGCATTTGAGTATGATACAAGGGTCTTTCTGCTTAATATTTTTATCCAGAGTCTTTGCTGATGCTTTCTATCTGACATCACCTCCTTCATCAGCACATCTGTCTCTGTTTTCTGCATTGTTAGTGACAATGTCAGCATAATTTCTGACCGGTTTCTGGCACCGATGTCTGCATGTATCCTCAATAGTCATGAGGTCTGTGTTTCTGCTGATGAAACTATGTCACTGCCTGAGCTTATGACAGATCTGTCAGAAGTAATGAGGCACTTCATGGAACATGATGGTTCTTGTTCAGCTGGGACTCAGCAGAATGACTGAAGGGAAGGCAAGTATTGTGGTGTCTTGCGTAAGGGCTGTAGAAGGGCAATAAGTCAGGACAAAGGATGAATACTCTTCCATTTCTTTTTGATTAGCTTCTCCTTGGAAATTTGTACGTCTAATGACATTGCAAAAATTAAAAAATGGTTTATTCTTAATGTAGTCCTTTGGCACTTGGCCTTATCCCTTGCCTTATTATTTTTGGTAATGTTGTAGAATTGGACTAGAAACTAGTTTTGACTATTCAAATTGATTAGCTTCCGTTACTCAAACCATGGTGTTTCTCTTGTAAGGAGTTTCATCAACAGGGATGCTAAAACTTAGTAGCAGTGGGTGAGAAACATGACCCCTGTCAGCCTTTTGTGGCCTCCCTCTTCCATCTTTGTTAATTTACAATTAAGTAGTTGCAATGGGAATTATCAAGAATCTGGTTTCTTTCAGTATAGGTCGAAGTACAGTTAAATAAATATATTTTAGACAATGGAATTGAGAAAAGAATTGTACAGGTGCCAGCACACATTTTTCTCTTTATCAGAAGGAATTCCCTTGAACTGTGGGAGGGGAGGGTCCAGATGACTGTCAGCAGGTGTGTTGGTTTGCGATATCAAATTCAGATGTGGACGTCCTAACATTT